AGATCGGAGAATTTTCAGTGAAGTCTGTAATGTGTAGTTTCAAAAAATATTTATACCCACCACCCTCCCACACACAGGAGGCACTTTTGTTTTAGATCCACCCCCTGGAATTTCTGTAATTTTCCGACTTACCTTTAGACTTGTATTTCCGTAAAAAAATACAGTTACACTATACTTTTGTGCGAAAGATAATTTTTTGTAGGATAAAGAGAGGTAAATTCCATGACACTACCATCCTGATTTCGTTTTTGGCCAAAGCTTTTTAGTTAAATCAGTGACGGTCGAGACGCCCTCGTTTAGTAGTTCGCAGATTCGCCGCTTGTGTGCGTGGTTTACGCCTTGGGTAACTTTGCAAGGAAAAATAATCAGACTGCTCGCAGTTTAAAGTCGTTCAAGCAACGAATACATATCTCTTGTAACAAAAAGGCCTTCCGTTGGCAAAATAATTATTCTACTAAAAAAATTGCGTAAACCATCCCAAACTGACGAAAGAATTCTATGTAAGATTTGTTTTCGGAATAATTGTTACGACGTGCATTTAGTTTCCCTCGCTTTTAGCTACAAATCACACACACTCACTCACACAAAACAAGTGTTTAAACTCGGCATTTGCAACTCACACGCACATTGTTAGCACGCGTTTTACTCGCCGTTTGTCGCGGCTTGGTTTAAGAGGTCCCAGGAGTTTTTCTGTGTTACCATTAAGAGCATTTAATTTCTAATTAGTTCGGGTAAGCTGTCAAGCGATAACTTGTGAATAAAGTGAAAACATTCAGTCGTTATGATTTAGAGAGGATCGTAATATATGAGTTGTGAACACGTATTTTGTTTTACATTGCACAATCGGTAATTTCAGATCAACCGACTTTGCTGATCTCTAAGTCTTAAGGATCCTCATGTTTCTTTCCTTAGCCTGGAGACATGTAGGACTTGGTAGAGATTGTCAAAAACGATATTTAATCGTTCTTGGCACATCTCAATACTTTCTTATCCCTGACCTGTGGACACATCTTTCTTATCTATAGCTTGCAGACAGTTTGTAAATCCCGTGGTAAATGTTGTCAAGGACGATTATTAATCGTACTTGGCACATCTCTGTGACTTTCTTATCAATAGCCTGCAGACAGGTTAAAACTGGTAAATGTGATCAGCAAAGATTATTAATCGTACTTGGCTCATCTCAATACTTTCTTTCCTTATCCTGCAGGGGGCGTAATAATCGTTTTTGACCATCTCTGCCAAGTCCTACGTGTCTGCAGGCTAAGGAAAAAAAGTATTACAGGGGCACCCAACGAGAATATAGTTCAAAACCACTTAAACATAGCATTGTTAAACGTATTTTAGTATTTAAACGGTAGATAAAGGCATATTTTTATCCCCTAAAAATTTTTCATCTGTTCGGATTTCCTAGCTGAAAGTCTAGTGATCCGAAAATTATAGAGATCAAAACTCGCCTTTTCGAAAATTTCAGCCAGAAAAAAGGCTCCCGAAAATTCTAGGTGACCTTTTTAGGGTAAAAATCCGTTAAAAATAGGCAATTATACTATTTTTTAGATGTTCGAAAATCCTAGGAGAGGCAGGCAAGCAAGAAATTTTACAACAAATGTTCCGAAAATTCTAGATCTCAAATCGTCTTCCGAACAGATATTTTTCCGAAAATTGTCGTTGGGTGCCCCTGGTATTAGGATGTGCCACGTACGATTAATAATTTTTCCTGCCCATATCTACCTCTTCCAACATGTATGCAGGCTAAGGATGAGAAAGTATTGAGATGTGTCAAGTGCGATTGATAATAGCTCTTAACAATTTCTCCAAACTCAAACATTTTTGCAGGCTAGGGATAAGAAAGTATTGAGATGTACCAAGGTACGAGTAATAAGCGTTCCTGACCATACCTACCAATTTCAACATGGCTACAGCCTAGGAATAAGCCGTGAAAGTATGGAGATGTGCCAAGTACGATTAATAAGCGTTAATTCCTGCCCATACCTACCAATTTCAACATGTCTGCAGATTTGGAATTAGAAAGTACTTAGATGTGCCAAGTACTATTAATACGCGTTTTTGACAATTTCTCCTAATTCTAACGTGTTTGCAGGCTATGGATAAGAAAGTACATTGAGATGTGCCAAGTACCATTAATAAGCGTTCCTGACCATTCCTAACTATTTCAACATGTCTACGGGCTAAGGATATGAAAGTATTGAGATGTGCCAAGTACGATTAATAGGCGTTCCTGACCACATTTACCCGTTTCAGCCTGTCTGCGGGCTATAGATAAGAAAGATGTGCCACATACGATTAATAATCGTTTTTGGTAAACTCTGCTAGGTCCTACATGTCTGTAGGCTAAGGAAAGAAAGTATTTAGATGTGCCAAGTACGATTAATAATCGTTCCTGCCCATATCCACCTGTTTCAACATGTCTGCAGGCTAAGGATAAGAGAGTATTGAGATGTGTCTAATGCGATTAACAATAGCTCCCAACAATTTCTCCAAATTCAAATATGTTTGCAGGCTAGGGATAGGAAAGTATTGAGATGTGCTGAATGCGGTTAATAATAGCTTTCGACCACGCCTTTCAGTTTAAACATGATTCCAGGATACGGATGAGGCCGTCTTGAGATGTGCCAAGTACGATTAATAATCGTTTTTGACAATCTCTTACAAGTCCTACATGTCTGCAGCCTAAGGAAAGAAAGCATTGAGATGTGCCAAGTACGATTAACAATCGTTTTTGACAATCTCTACCAAGCTCTACGTGTCTGCAGGCTAAGGAAATAGAGTATGTGCAAATTACGATTAATAATGGTTCCTGTCCATTTCTACCTGTTCCAACACGTCATGCATGCTAGGGAAAAGAAAGTATTGAGAATTGCCAAGTGCGTTTAATAACCGTTCTCGCCAGTCTCTATTTATATTAATACTAACATGTTTACAGGTTAGGAATAAGAAAGTATTTAGATGTGCCAAGTACTGTGACGATTATTAATCTTGTAAGACAGGATGGTAGTGTCGGAGAATTTACCTCTCTTTATCTTATAAAAAATTATCTTTCGCACAAAAGTATAGTGTAACGGTATTTTTTACGGAAATGTTCTTTCCATGCAGGGGTACTCAGATAAGTTGGAAAATTACAGAAATGCCAGGGGGTGGGTCTAAAACAAAAGTGCCTCCCGCGTGGGGGGTGGGTATAAATATTTTTTTGAAACTGCACATTACAGAGAATTCACTGAGAATTCTTCAATCTTTAATCTTGTTAAAATATTGGGGTGTTAAAAGATCTCTTAAAAAGGTCATGAAATCGGCAGTGAAACACTTGTGTACCAACAATGTTTATAACATAACGAAAGTAAATCGCGCGCTCTGATTGATCAGTTAGCCACAACCATTTGCCCGTGGGTGTACGCCAAGAAACTGAGCTAGCGCGGTAAAATTTAGGCAAATTCAACAAAACTCCTCTCCGGACGGTAAAATACGCCAATGAAATGCACAGATGAAAAGTGGAAGTTGAAGAAAATACTAAGCCCACTCGACCACGCCAGCAAGCTATGAAGAACTAGGCTTAAAATAGGTACATATTCCATCTCAACAATGATTGACAATTTTCAGGAATAAGTTTTTGGGTTTTTTATACAACTATGGAATATTTAACTGAACTTAACTAGACAAAAAGTTAAAAATAAAATTGTCTTCATTTGAAAGAGTTGACTGAACTTGATAAAAAGGTCATTCACGACATTTCTCCGTACGTAATGTACTGCTGAGTTGAGAATATCGAGCAGTGTAAAACCAAAAAACTTAAGATTTTGATATGACTACATCATTTTAAACCCTAATAATTTAATAACCATAAAACGGGCTTTTTTTCTGTGAGACAGTGACAGTTTTTTCTTCTTTTGGCCCACTTCTGCTAAACTAAGAGCTATGACGAGCGAGAACAATCCCATCGTATTTTGAAGCCTCACATCGATCACAGTAGATTTGGAAAATTGTTCAGAATGCTGGTTTTTCATAAGCAATTTTGGTTATTACTTTTGGCGAAAGGAAAGCTTGACCACTAAAGACTTTAGGTAAATAAACGTTGAAAAGAAATGAGAGAGTGATTAGAAGACTCGGCTCTGGATATTTTCGACCGTAATGGCGGACGGAGCAAGAATGATCCGGCTTAATTTAACTTTTGTGTTTTTACGATTAATAGTCTGGAAATACGCATCATACGACTAGTAATCGTACCATTCCACGTATAATGTCATAGGTGACGAATTACTCCTTCAATCGTGGCGCGAAATTTCAGCGATAATTTGTAATTTCACATGTGAAATTACAAAATTGCCATGTCAACCTTCCGTACGTCTCAGTTTCAAGATGGCGACGAAGTTTTAAAATGTCATGAATGAAGATGCCAGGGCATAAAAAGACGCTTTAGAAAACCTGAACACACGAAAGAGCACATCAAGAAGGATTCGTGAAGAAAAATTCTGAACTTAAGCCAAATTTAAGCTCTAAACGTTCGAGAGAGTGGAGTTCTCAATCGATACGATCCCGGATAAACATGTCAGAAATCCAAGATTGCTAAGATAATTCGTCACCCATGATATTAATAGGTAATCGAATGGTATACTCGTGAAATTAGGGAATAATTTCACTTGCGTTAAAGGCTCGGGAAATTATAAGGATTTGGACAAAACGCGCGTGAAATTATTCCCTAATTTCACTCGTCACCATTTGATTACACATACTTATAACCGTCAAGTTACGTCTTTTACGGTTATTAAACTGAAAATGTAGTATCTGTACTCCAAAAGTATTTTGACACTCCAGAAACAAATTGACATCTGTTTCTTTCAAAATTGTCGCAAATTCCGCTTGCCTAACGGCTCGAGAAATTACGTATGCCAAATATCACTACAAGTCATGCTATTACCTATACTAATTTATAATTTTACATGTGAAATTGCAAAATACCATTGCATCGTTTCGTAAGTCTCAGTGCCAAGATGGCGTCCAAGTTTAAAACTATTAGTGAATAAAGATGTCAGACATTAAAGACACTTTAGAATAAACGCACAAAAGAGCACACCAAAAAGGAACCTGTCAGGAGGGGTGTTATCCACCGAGGCCGAAGGTCGAGGTGGATAACACCCTCCGAGGTCTGCTTAATTCTTCATATCCTACGAAAGCCGAATTCATTAATTGCTTTATTGTTCATCTATCTCCAATAGAAGTTCTTAGTAAGGAAGCTGTTGCCCTTTCTGTTGTTGGAGCAGTCCTGTTCCCCTGTATCGTCCTTGGGTTCGCCTTCTTTTGCTTTATACGCCACCAACGGAAGCTGATTGTGGAGTATCGTAATCAGATTTTTCCAGTATACACTGGAAAACACCAGGTAAAATACCATGTAAAACGAGCTTAAAATGAAGCCACTACATAACAACCAGTGCCTGCTTGGATTCTACAACGTATTTTCGCTGAAAATGATGTTTGTTAGACTGCGTAAATTTCACACCCCTCCCATTCCAAGATCATACTCAACACCTACAATGACAACTTTAATCGCGGAAAAATGGAGGAGGGGGATTTCTTTTACTTGTGAAATTTTTGTCTCAGAGGAGCAATCAAATTAGAAAAGGGGTTTTATAAGCAAACGTCTCTCAACCTTTGTTCAAACATGACAGCGAAAATAAAATGAATTTGCGATCTTTCAAACTTCATCTCGATTAACGTCATCTCCTTTGATATGTGAAACGTAGGCGACTTTACGTGGAGTAGTTGAATTTCTATGGACAGCCAAGTTAAAAAAGGGAATAAAAAATTTATCGTCAGTGCCGGTTAAAGTCCTTCGCAAAACGCGCATTGGGACTAATTTTTCACGTCGTAGTCGTGCAATCAAGTTTGATGGCCCGTGCAAAGTTGTCGTTTTTGGTTGTTAATCCGACCCGCTACTGTTTCACCTTCTCATTACCGTCGTCGATTCTCTTTTGCTTAAAATCTTTAGTAACCTTTCGAAAGTGCAGGTTTGCTTTACTTATGGCCACTTTACATTCGTGTAAACTCTCATGGTGTTGGACACTTTTGAGAATGATTATACATTTATCACTCGAGCATCTGAGTTGCTTGTTCGAGGCCAGTCGACAGACATAATTTGGAAAATTGCAACCATAGATTGCTCCTCGTTTTAAAATAGATGTATACTCACGGATAGTAAAGATGGCTGACATTTTGTTCATTTCATTGCAGGCTACGAACCAGTCTGTTCCGCAAAAATAGTCACGACTTTTTTTGTCGACCTACCGTGAACGAGGTGCCGAGTTTCTTTGCGGAGTGGCCATGAATTTAAGTCCACTTTTCAAACCTAAACTGGCTTTTGTTTATTCTTTGACTCGATTCAAAAAGTGATCCATTGCCCTGAAATGGCCTTCTAAATTCAGGTAATACTCATGAACCAAACAGTTTCCAGTTGGAGGGAATGAACTTACCATTGCTTGGTCTAAATAGGTCCCTATTTTATACGTTAAGTAATAAAATATTTCTTGATTGTTTTAGATTGACCCAAATATTGCACTGCTTGAACAATGTAATGATCTGCCTTATGACCCTGATTTCGAGTTTCCTGAGGACAAGCTCATTCTTGGGGAGGTGCTAGGATCAGGGGCCTTCGGAAAAGTCATTAAAGCAGAGGCTATAGGAATAAACAACTTTAGTCCCAGAGACAAAAGTCAAAAGAAACGTCAGCGGCGACCTAAAATGTTTCGTCAACAAAGGGCCGGCCATGCGTACCACGATCCCAGAGGCAGTGCGTACACGAAGACCACCGTAGCTGTAAAGACTGTTAAAGGTAATGTTTCAAGTCAAGAGATCTCTATTTCAACTTGTGTAACATTTACCATGGAGCAAGAATGGCTAGTACTTGTCGGGGGTTGGTGGAGGGGGACAAAAAAGGCATTTGGTTTATAGTTACTGTAGCAGCTGATAATATGCAGGGGAGGGGACGAGTTACCAGGTTACCTGCGCGGTAATAATTTTGGAGACGGGGTAGGGTTGATTTGGGAATCTGTGCCTACCAGTGGAAAAAAACCCCAGCCATGCCCCTGGATTCAGCATGGGTGAGGTGGGCAATTCGCATAGGGCCTCTCTCATGCATGAGTACCGTTCGTTCTCATTCCTATTGCTGAGGTTTGTGCCCAGTTAAACTGAACGTTGCTTGTGACATGGTCACATGGACTCCACTAGAGCCTGTGAAAACTGCACTTTTTTTAACTGACCGTGTACGATATTTTGGCACTTCAGGGGGAGCTACTAACGAGGAAGTAAGAGACCTGGCATCAGAGCTGAAAATTCTAATTTACGTTGGAGAACACAAAAACATTGTAAACCTCCTTGGTGCTTGTATCAAGCGAGATCGTATCCTTGTCATTCTGGAATATGCACCACATGGGAGTTTACAAAAGTTCTTACGACGCAAGCGAGATGTTTATGAAGCAACCTGGACTACGACTGCGAGTGACCCAGAGATAGGATTGAATATATCAAATCTTGTAAGCTATTCTTACCAAATATCCTGTGGAATGGAATACCTGGCGTCTAAAAAGGTAATGTAGTAATGCTGTCCCGTTCAAGGATTCCCACATTTCTGAAGAAAATTCAGTTCTAACGAGAGGTGTAGTGGCTCTTGGTTGTAATAGACCTATTTGGCTTATGTTTTATTTTCCCATTTCACACCACGTGATGTTCTCAAGGCAATTTGCGTTTTGTCTAAATACATAAATATGCTCCTGGATGCACGAGCAAAGGACAACTTTTGAAAGGAACGGTTCTCTGGGGTACCATCAAGTGGTCTGAAAAGGGAAGACAAAACATACAAGCTAAAAAGGTCTATTCTCCAGCACTTGCTTATTTTCTCCGTTTGGCTTCAAAGAGTTTTGTCATGATTTAAATCGTTTATTCGACTCTAAATCTGCGCCTATTTGTTTGTTTTTCGCGTTTAACAGAGTATGACTACTTGAACCTGGGCGCTTGAAAGCTTATTATATCCAATCAAATCGTTTGACCTTACCATGTTTTTTTTTTGAAAACAAGAGATTCTCTGTTAATGTAAACGGGCCAAAGAAAATTCAATGTGCAACTATGAAACTGTTGATAACTTAAAAACCGAACTTACCTGACCTCTCAGGAATTAGCCCTCAAATTTAATGAGAATCTTTTGTTTTCAAAAACCGCAATGATTATTATGATTTGTGTTTGGATAATCTATTTCCAAAAGCCCAGCTTCGAGTATTCGCACTGTAAGAGTTTATTATGAGTAATAAGTGGTAAAAGTAAAGTAACTCAGAGAGAGGAGACCTCAGTAGCCAAAAGCTCGCGCAAAGGATTAGAAAAAGCAACGTGTAGGAGAAAAGGTTACGGGAACTCAGAAGCGTGCGCAACAGCTGTGACATTAAATCAGCCATGAACCGGGAGCGAAAGAAGCGAAGACGTAAGTGTCTGGAGCGTTGATTCCTCACTGATCAGCGTTCGAGAGTAAGTGAAGAGCATTGTTTAACAATGTTTAGTCTTTATTTACTTTTACTTTCTGTAGCGTGTGCACTTCTCTATTGGTATAAAAATTGTTTTTCCTGTTTTTACTGTGATTATTATTATTATTATTATTATTTCAAAAGTAGGTTGAGTTTGATCGTCCGGGTAATCGTAGTCCTGAATAGGACTGTTGTTGTTGACAGTGACTGACGTTTCGATAACCTGTGCTGTAGTCATCTTCAGAGTCAAAGCGAGTTGTATCACGTCAGTTGATGGTATTATACTCTGGTTATTGAGCTGATTGGTCAATTACGTCGCGATGTTATTGGTCGTCTGTCAGTAAAGCCGTGATATTATTGGCTATGAAGACTCGTAATCAGTAATTGGTGCGTTTCGATCCGTCTTTTGTCACAGTTAAACAGTCGTCTATTGTTAGTCAAATTGTCATTTCTCCAGTCGTTCTCTCGTAGTTAGTTTTGCTTGATCTCGTCAATAAGTCGTTTGTAACGCGCTGGTAACTGTTGGCTACGATTCAGTGGCGTTTGTTCTAACTTAGTAAACCAGCTTTCTAAAGTAAGACGTTGATAGTAGTCTGTAGAATACGTTATACATGTCACAGAGTCCCAGTCAATTTGATGTTTCGTTTGTAATTGGTGCTCAGCAATGTGATTGTTGACGTCGCCATTCCTCGTCGCTCGTTTGTGTTCGGTCAGTCGCGTGCTTAGGTTTCTGCCGGTTTCACCAATGTAAGAAGCCTGGCAGTCGCAGCATTTGATCTTGTATACTGCTCCCTGTGTGTCCTCCAGTTTGTCTTTGTCCTTGACATTAGTAAGAAGTCGCCGTAAAGTGGTTATCGGTTTGTGTGCAACACGTATATTGTAAGGTTGTAATATACGTGCAATAGTTTCAGAGGTGCCTCTGATGTACGGTATAATCGCTGTTGTAACAGGGCCAGATTTGGTCTGAGTGTTGGAATCAGTGTTACTGTGAGTGTTCCGTCTAACAAAGTCCGTGTTGTAACTGTTCTTACTAAAAACGTTGGTAAGATAATCAGTCTCGTCTTGTAGGCTGTCAGGTGAGTCACAAACTAGTTGCGCTCGTCTCGTCAGAGTCCGGATAGTAGTAGCCTTGTGGGAGGTCGGATTGTACGAAGACTGGGCTAGTAATCGGTCTATATGTGTCGGTTTTCTGTAAATAGTCGTTTTTAGATTGTTGTTATCGCGAGTGACCAAGCAGGCTAGAAAAGGTATCTTACCATTTTCTTCGATCTCCTTGGTGAACTGTATGTCCGCGTTCTGTCTGTTATGGTGTTCGTGAAAATCGTCGATTCCGTCTTTGTGTACGGCGGCAACAACAAACTAAAAACGATATTTACAGAAAACCGACACATAGCGACCGATTACTAGACCTGTCTTTGTACAATCCGACCTCCCACAAGGCTACTACTATCTGGACTCTGACGAGACGAGCGCAGCTAGTTTGTGACTCACCTGACAGCCTACAAGACGAGACTGATTATCTTACCAACGTTTTTAGTAAGAACAATTACAACACGGACTTTGTTAGACGGAACACTCACAGCAACACTGATTCCAACACTCAGACCAACTCTGGCCCTGTTACAACAGCGATTATACCGTACATCAGAGGCACCTCTGAAACTATTGCACGGATATTACAACCTTACAATATACGTGTTGCACACAAACCGATAACCACTTTACGGCGACTTCTTACTAATGTCAAGGACAAAGACAAACTGGAGGACACACAGGGAGCAGTATACAAGATCAAATGCTGCGACTGCCAGGCTTCTTACATTGGTGAAACCGGCAGAAACCTAAGCACGCGACTGACCGAACACAAACGAGCGACGAGGAATGGTGACGTCAACAATCACATTGCTGAGCACCAATTACAAACGAAACATCAAATTGACTGGGACTCTGTTACATGTATAACGTATTCTACAGACTACTATCAATGTCTTACTTTAGAAAGCTGGTTTACTAACTTAGAACAAACGCCACTGAATCGTAGCCAACAGTTACCAGCGCGTTACAAACGACTTATTGACGAGATCAAGCAAAACTAACTACGAGAGAACGACTGGAGAAATGACAATTTGACTGACAATAGACGACTGTTTAACTGTGACAAAAGACGGATCGAAACGCACCAATTACTGATTACGAGTCTTCATAGCCAATAATATCACGGCTTTACTGACAGACGACCAATAACATCGCGACGTAATTGACCAATCAGCTCAATAACCAGAGTATAATACCATCAACTGACGTGATACAACTCGCTTTGACTCTGAAGATGACTACCGCACAGGTTGTCGAAACGTCAGTCACTGTCAACAACAACAGTCCTATTCAGGACTACGTTCACCCGGACGATCAAACTCAACGTACTTTTGAAATGACTCCTGGGTTCAAACCTTTCACATTATTATTATTATTATTACTATTATTACTTTTTAAAATAGCAAAAATCTTTATTAACATATGACCAATTTACATTCCGCTATCATAGACTAAAATTTTGATGAAATAAAAATATTAAAACTAAGATCATAAAACACTAATTTACAAGATCACCCCATTATTGACTTTCTAAAATTAGCAGACTTACTACTATTATTATCTCCTTCTTGTTTCTGATTTCTTGATTTTGCATTTCTTTTTTCAAAACATATCTGTTTTATATAGTGTGTTCACCGAGACTTGGCGGCCAGAAACATTCTTGTTGGAAAAGACTACGTCATGAAGATCGCTGACTTTGGTCTCGCTCGAGATATTTACAAGAGTGAATTATATGTGAAGACGAACAGTGGTATTTTGCCAGTGAAGTGGATGTCGGTAGAATCATTGTTTTTGAGGGAGTTCTCAGAGAAAAGTGATGTGTGAGTACAAATGACATTTAAAAAAATGAATGAAGGGAGAATAGGAAAATATGCGGGGATGGTACTCAAGGATGACAACTATATAATTAGTGCGTAATTAGGCGTTCAAATTAAAAAGAAGCTGGCCTTTTGATTACTGCAATTAAGTTAAACTTGCCATAACATAGTTTAGCAGGCGCTTTCCGATTGGCTGAGAAGTACGTTTGCATGCGAGTAACACAGTTAAACGCGACCACGTTTGAAAAACTCGACAAGTTTACTTTATTAACCCATAACTTAGAGGTATGGAACTTGAAAATCTTTAAAAACATGCTATATCAAAGTTTTTACGCTCAAGACGACATTTTCAGGGAGAACAATCCGTCCTTTAAAATATCACCTTTTTTAACAAATAAAGAAGCCTTGACTGTGCTCTGTTCTGTACGTTGTAAAGCACACACGACTGGCAGCGGCTAGAACGCGAAAGAAGTGTAGGGGGGAACACAAGATGTAGTCGAGTGTTTCTCTCTACTTCTTGAGTAGTACAACAGAATAGAGCTCAGTCAAGACTTCTTTATTTGTTTTATGAATATAAAGAATCCGTTAAATTCTCCACACATTCCTTTTTAATTTTCAAAACAATCTTTTTTTTTAAAGCAAAAGAGTGTCGTCAGCACATGTTTTATACTCTCGTAAAGCACGCTTTTGCAACAAATCAGAGCGCACGTTATATCTGAACTTTATTATAAATGCAAAACAAAAACGTACTGATTACACCTACAAAACTTCGTGTAGATACAACACTTCGCAACTAGTAAGAACTGCTCTTTTCGTTAGCGCCATAAACAAAGAGCTAGGTAGGAACTTTTTCTCGGGAAAGTTGCCGCTATAAAAGCACCTTAGCAGAAAGCTGTTTTTCTGTGGTTTGCAATTTGTACGAATTCTCTTAAATTCTCCCAACACCCGAATCTGGTGTTTATATCAGGGAATGTAAACCCAGCAGATAACGTTTTCCATTTTTTATGAAAAGTACTCGAAAGAAAAAGAATACCACTGATAACGATTCTTGAATGTAGCGCTTCATATGCAAGCCATGTAAGTTTTGATTCCAATAATTCCCTTGTAGTGGAGTTAATAGCAGCTTACCATCTGTTTCCTCGAGTCCATATTTTAGTTTAAACAGCTTACAGAGCTTTATTGACACCCTTTTGGTTTGGAATGACCCAGGCTGTGATGACCCTTCGAGTGTGTATGTTTTGAACCTTGACATTTAATAACGCAGATGGTCGTTTGGTATTTGCTTGTGGGAGATCTTTACACTGGGCGGCACACCGTATTCCACTATACCCGCAGAAGAGCTCCTAGACTTTCTCAATGATGGAAACCGTATGCAAAATCCCCGAGACTGCCCTCCGGAGATCTACAAAATTATGCAAGATTGCTGGCAGGAAGGACCCGACAAGCGACCTAAATTTGATCAAATCAAACAGTCGATTGGTACAATAATTGAGCAACGCGCTTCCCAGGTGAGGCCTTGAGGCAAAGGAGGAACTAAGAGAACTTATCCTCTCTCTTGTCAGAACTTATTGTACACTAGGTCCTTCAAAGGAAAAATTGAAGTTTATGAAAAGGGGATACTCTCTTGAGTGTATATATCCTTTGTTCTGATGGGGCGAGCGGGAATTAAGCTTTGCAGGAAGAATATGAAGAGATGACTTATACTGTGTGCTCTTTAAAAAATTACCATACCTATTTAAAAAATTACCATATGACAGTGGGGGACCCGCTCATTTAGTCCCGTAGTATGCAGTTTGGCCTATAAAGAAGGTGGAGCCCCGGGCCCCTGGGCCCCTTGGCCCCTCCCGTAGATCGGCCATGGAATGATATAACACGATCTGCATGCTGTTTTTTTTTTTTTTTAGACTGACGGAATGCAGATGCTAAAGCTATACAGATTATAAAAATTTACGATTCTATGAGATCAGAGAATTTCGACTGCCAATTGAAAGAAAGATTATGAGGGATGCGCATCTTTTGCTGGTCAGGAGCCCATAACCCGGAGTGAGCAACTTTCATGCGCTTGTGTCACGACGTTTTCTCGGACCAGTTTATTTTTAGAACGGTTTTGGCGCGAATTTTGAATATCTTTTAAGTTTCACAAACTAGTCAACAAAACCTACAGCCCTAAAAATGGTATTTTCTGCCTTTTAATAACGTTTAGGTCCGGTTTTGAAATCTTATACTCCGAATACGCTCATAGATATGGGGGAGATTTTATTTTCGTGGGAAGAAGTGCCCCTTAAAATGTGTCTAAAAATAATAAAACTGATCCGTAGAAACGCCGTGACATAGGCCTAATATGGAAGTTGCTCGCTCCGGGTTATGGGCTCCTGGCTGGTATGTTTATTCTAAACTTCGATATGGGCTTATTTTTCACAACAGAGTGGGGCGACCGAGTACCTTCGCTTAACAGAAGACAACAACCTTGGCAAAAAAGATTACTACCTTGATCCACATGATTCAGACCCCACCGTTCCTGTGACGAGAGTAGATGTTTATGACGGGTTAGTAGTCTCGATTAAGCATTTGGCTTTTCTTCTTGAAAAGTTCAGCCACAAGCGAGTTGGGTTGTCCATACCCAGTATTCCGTACCCATAAAGGAGCCAACAAGTCCCTGGCTAAAGAACGTCCCAATATTAGGTCGACAATAAATACGTTATGTTATGATAATTCAATAACTGATAGGTAGGGCCAGTTCTGCTTATATACTAGCTTGGCCACTGAGGGAGCGCTTATTCGGGAAAAAAATAGGTTCTTAAAAGGAGTACTGAGGAGACAGTATATCGTTAATTAGACACGTGCATGGCCATGGCAAAGAACGAAAGGGACTCAGTTACATTGTTACGTAAGAAATAACATTGCTTAACTCGTGGATACAGATAATGGTCTTGCTGTGCACGGTAAATTTAAAATTGAGCCGAACGAGTGGCTAATAAGAAACTGTTCCGTTATGTCAATGCCGGCGTTTAATCAAAGGTAAACAAGCGTTTAGAGAATGAGAGAAGAGAGGAGGTTACCTTATAACATCACAGTGTGCTGGAGGTGATTGTTATTCAACGAGACTCTTGTTTTTCAGCTTGGCAGGCGAATTTTTAGGGGAAGACGCTTAATCAACGTGAACGCTTTTTATTTTTGACGTTTAAGGCGTAATAACGTATAAATCTCAGAGTGAGAAAATCTAACTCCTTTCGCTGCTTAAAAATCATGTTTCGAGTCCATTGCGGTTGACATCAAGATTTGAAATAATGATAATAAAATAGAGCATTGCGATCTTGTCTCACAGAATTATCGGCTCGTAAAATGTTTTAGTGTGCTTTCACGTTGCCTTCTGTAATCATGCGCATGATCTAAAATGTATGGTCAATTTTTTAGGAATCTACTTTGGTTGACAGCGTTGTTTTCTTCTTATAGGCGATCAAGTGAAAATATTGCAAACAATCCCTTGCCTCCATTATCAGGTGACATGGAAGATCAATTCGATCCGGAATCTAAGGAGAAACAACAGACGCCGAACCCAGAGATTTACGGTGGCTCGTTGGGGAGTGAGGGCGACATTGAACTAGAAGAATTCCATGGTAATGAGTAGGCTGTGACCTTGGAACTGACGCCTATTGCTCACTCTACAGAAAAGGCCGGAAATTCAAAGAAGAAAACTACAATCGTCTGAGACTTGCGCTAAAGTTAATCTTTTTACTTACAGATTCAATAATAGAGACATTTTAAAAATAGTCCCTAATTTATCTCTGTTGTAAAATGCTGTGATGTGGTCGGCTGTTCAAATGAAACCGTATCTGTAGCACGTTTACGTGACTGTATTTGTTTATGTTTTACTGATTTAGTTCGAAATCGTACTTCAGTAACTAGTCCGTCGATGAAATCCAATAGTTTGACCATTTAAATCAAAACCTCTTCAGTACCGTGTTCACATGAAACTAGCTATTTCGCATGTAGTTCTAACTATTATAACTATTAGCTCACATGTATAAAATTGGAATCTTTTGACGAAAACCTACTTGTGTGACTATCAAAATTAAACCTCTTCATCAGTACTAAAAAAGAGTAGTAAAGTGATATTTGGCAGAAAAATTAGCAGTTAACTAAGAATTGGGTACCCCATTAGCACCCTCATAATTGTTTAAATAATGAAAATAAGATAAATATAGAAGTCTGAATAGTGAATATTGAGGTTTGAATATTAAATATTGAGGTTTGAATATTGAATATTGATGTTTGAGTATTGAATATTGACAGTTTGAATATCGAATACTAAAAACAAAATATTCCGCTTCCACCCCCGAGTCTGGGAGCTGTATTCTCGCGCAAGAGGTAGTGATAGTGTAAGTTAGAATCTCTGCGTGGATAACTTCTTTTTCTTTGTACATTTTTTTTCTGTTTAGATTTAGTTTTTGTAAAAAAAATCATATGTCTTTCTGTTTAGTTTGTTTTACTCTATTCTCACTGCTGACCCTTCTTAGCTTCGGGAGGTTTTTGCGATAATGTATTTCTAGTAATTTTAATATTACAGTTGAACCTCTCTAATACGGACACCGCGCCGAAGGGACAGAGCAAAGTGTTCGTGCTTTGTTTTAAAACAGTAATTTGTCTGTAGCTGAGATGTACAATGTTGTATGCTACTGAAGGACAGTGTCTTTGTACTGTGAATTAATAACTTAAAATGCAGTTGAAAGACGAATGTGAGCCTGGTTTTAGTTACTGAACACTTAAAACTGTAAGTGGAGTCATAAAAGTGACGTCATCATGGTGCCCTCTTTTATACGGACCCCGCTCAGTCTCTAATAAGCTACAGTGCCATACTGCATGTAAAAAGTTGTAACGTAAAGCACAATTCTGAAAGCGTCTTTCGCTACTTTGCAAGTGCAGTAAACAGTAACCAGAGTACAAAATGTAATAGAAAAGATCTTTATGCTATCTGTAGCTATTGAAACCTTTAAAAAGTCGGTTATGTTCCTCTCTGCACCTCTCGCAAATCGTTGTTTGATATACAGCGACTGGGCTCTATATCACCTTGCATAGCTCACCATCCAGACTAGATGGGATTCACCCTATGCAGATTCACCTGATCGGGATTCGGGATAACCTGATCTCCGCATTTCCGAAATAAAGAGGTTAAGTTTATTTGAATTTCCTCTCTGGGGCCGATATTTAGTGTTCGTTGTCCGTATTATAGACAGAGGTTTTTTTAATGAAAATATATGAGAATTTTGTCGGGACATAGGAAACTGTCCGTAATGGAGAGGTGTCCGTACCGAGAGGTTTCACCGTATAGTTTAGTTCGTCGTATGTGAAGTTCGACGTTTGACCCGGAGACGATCTTCAGACCGTCGTTCTATCCGTCTGAAGCAGACAAATAGACTGTGTTGGACGATCCAAACTCATTTAGACGAACTTGACTGAGCCAGACGTCGAACTTTTCACGAACTTAACTCACTAAGTTTGGTTCGTCTCATGAAAAGTTTGAGGTTTGGCCTAGGCCTATATTATTTGTACGCTCAAGTCTTAATGTAACGAAATTTGTAACGGTTCTAATTAAGTTCAGTTAAATTTTTTATTAATTTTTTTCTTTAGCGATGCTAGACTGTGAATAGAAACTCGACAGACCCTAGAGAAAAGGCGGCTGCGATGCAAGGGCGAAAATCACGGAAGGTATATTTGATATGGACCCTCGCTTCGATAGCGTAGTAGATACCTTTTCATGTAAGACCATACAAATGCACCATTCACGTCAATCTTCTGATTTGCTCTGACAACGGAGGGCTAAGCCAATCAGTGCGCGAAACGGCTACTTCTCAGTCCCCTGACGGAGGCCAATCCACCTTATTACGGCTACGATGAGTTGATAAAGCCAAATCTTTGTAAGTCTCTCGACTCTCTCCTCTATACCTGAGTTTTGGGTTTCCGTGATCAGCTGATCGATCTGACTGGCAAAACATATCGGGTTATCTCTTTCTACCTCAGTTTTATACAATAATTTTTTCATTAGATCTTGTTGTATTTGGCTAATAATATTAATTCCTATTTACATGATCATGAGGCGTAGTTGCTCTTAGTGCCAAAGGTTGAACAGCTGCTTGTCGGTGAGAGCGGCAGCATCTGCGGTGAAATAACTTATGATACTCTTTACGAAAGTTCGTGTTAAGCACGCCGTATATCAAAGGATTAATAGCGCTGCTTATAAGGGCCAGATAAGTATATGTTAGGTAAGCCTCGCGAGGGAATGACCATATGCCTTGAATCGTGTCCACAATGTCGATAAGAATAATAGGGATCCAAAACAGACTGAAAATCATCACTTACACAAACAGTGTGCGAGCCACCTTAATCTCTTCTACATTTGCCGTGATGACTGGATTCCCAGGACGTTGGAAGTTGTTACTGTGACTGCGAACTGTTTGAAAGACTCTTAGGTAGCAGTAAAGGATAATAGTGCTTGGAATCCCTAAGTAAAGTAAAAGCCAAAAGCCCACAAATGCACTGTTATCGATTGTAGGATAGCAGAAAAACTTGGAAGCATGGAAAATCATTTTGTGTCCGCCCACAAAATATGGTAATGGACAACACATGGAATAGAACCACGACAAGAGGATCATGATCGTGGTTTTCTTCTTGGTGAAGTAGCGGCGGTATTTTGATGGTTTGACGATTCTAAAATATCTGTTAACCGCCATCAAGGCCAATGTGTGAACTGATGCAACAGCTAAGGTTATGACTATGTACCCTTGCAACTGGCACGTTGAATCGTTGAACGGCCACTGAGATGTCACTAATACAAAAGTCCCAAAGGAACCGACACGAAACCTCCCAAACATAAGTCGGTAAAGGCGAGTGATGCCACGAACATATTTGGAATTGTCCTTATCCGATGGTTTAGCAACATAACGAGGAGGGTTATTGAGTTGCCAACCATCAAGAACGACAAAAGAAATATTAAAACACTTGATTCCAGGATGACTGCAACTATGCTTCTTGACTTTAGTTCATTTAACATGTCTTCCAGTTGCTTCTCTGTGGAGTCCATGATGTTTTGCAGAGTCATCTAGTTTCAGCTACGAACATTCGAACATGATAGTGTGTAGACAAAACGCTAAAAGAATGTATCTATAACACCTCAGAGATTGTATCACATTTGATCTAAGCCATATAAAGGTGGGAAGAACTTACACGGTCTACCGTCTCAGCAGATGGCTCAAGTTTGGGAAAATAAATAATTTATATTTTAGTTGCTATGGCATCGAGTGCCCTCCAAAAACATAAACGAAGCTGCCGATCAGTTCTTTGAGTTAGAAAAAAAAACTTGCAACATTAAATTGTTTTAGTATTTAATTTATAAGCAGCTCTTTTTTTCATCTGAGCTTATGTCTTGGAACAGTCAGGGCTTTGTATTATGGGAAAGTGTGTAAGGATATTATGGATAGCCGTCCATGCCTGTCCATATTGAGCAAATTTTTTAAAAAACCCCGTTTGAATGATTTAAACTTTATTTATTCAGTTTTAACTCCGGCTTTGGAACCGAAATTTATTTAAAATTTGACTTTAAAACTGATTAAATTCAACATTATATCAAACTGCTTACATTTTGTTCCTTTTCACTTTACCCCGAAACAGCGTGATTTAATCTTTTTATTTGCTCTTTAAATATTCATTTAAAATTCAAGTCTTTTTTCAAATCGTTTTTTGGTTAAAAATTTAGTTATTTCGTCTTGAACTTCTATAAATTTGCATTACAACTGCTTTAAAAGTTTATTTACACTTTTCCACTATGAACTTTGATTTAATCGTCCTGTGTCTAAAAATCTGCCAAAATGGCTATTTTTCTCTGCACCTTTTCGGAGCAGCTAACGAAGTTAGCGTCTTTGCCTTCTGTTATTTTTATTAATTTGGCCAAAGAAAATAGGCCATGAACTAGCCACATTGATTGACTGATTGATTGATTGATTTACATCCTCTTCTCACGTGATCGAAGAAACATGAGCGAACGATTGGTTGGTTCACGAGCCAATTGAAGACTGCTGTGTCTGAATTTGCAACTACGTTCCACAGCAGTATGGTGTGATCCCCAAACAGATTTGCTTGAATGGTATCCCTTGTTAAAAAATTCCCCAAAGTCCAAGAGTTAATATGTAGTTGATGGCAACTAGATGTATCATGCCCTCTTTTCCAGGAAAGTCATAATCAAGAGAAATAGGCATTGGACGCAAAAAATGGATTTGCACAAATTTTCTTGTTGCAAATATGTCGCAATTATGTAAATAATGAGGAGTTAATATATGGCAGAGATGGTAAATGCCACATTAACATACCATAAAACAGGAGTTGTAAATAACTAAGCAAATGTGGCATTTACTATGTTTGTCATATGTTTACTCCACTGCATTTAATATATCTTTGCGACATATTTGCAAGGAGCAAATTTGTGCAAATCCATTTTTTTGTCCCGTGAGGGAAGGCATGATCGTAGGATAGAGGTATTGATAGATGAAAAAAATAGCTGTAAATGTCATGTTTATATGATTTGTAAGAAACCTAGCGCGGGCATAGAACCACGAGGCGTATCAGGAATTTAGTTCCTGTAGACACATTGGAAAAAGAGAGAGTATAGCCGCGCTCTGGATACCGTTCCCCTTTGTGGCACACCCGCAGCAAGACATTGAAAGATAAGCTGCCAAGATTACTAAAAACAATAATTTGCTGTTAAAGTTTTTAAAGGTGCCAGTTATGATATTAGCTCGGCAAATCTAACCCTAACCCTAACCACCCGTAACCAGCCTTGCGGATCCTCCTCCCTTGTGTCACCTGTGAAGTCATCAGTTTTAACAATTTTAGACAAGTTTGACCTAACTTGACTGGAGGAAGAGATCTTTCAAACCATAGCCAATAGACAGCGATTCAGTTGAACAATTTCCATGTTTGGCACGAAGCCAAATAGAGACTTTTTGATGCTTGAAATTTATAATAAAGACAATGCCAGATTTTTCTTATTGCAAAATATGGAAACTTTAATGTTTGCCAATTTCCAGAATTTATACGACTCAAAATATAGAAATTTTGATAAGTGACTTTTATAATAAAGAAAAAAATCCATATTTTACCCAATATAGAAACTTTGACATTTGCCAATTTCCAGATTTTGCAAAACACAAAATAAATAAATTTTAACACGTGACTTTTGTATCAAAAACAAAATCCATTTTTTACCAAATGCGCTAAATAGAAACTTCGATTTTTTTCCAATTTCCAGATTTTGCACGACGTAAAATATAGAAATTTTGACATTTCACTTTTACAATAAAGACGAATTCTGTATTTACTTATTAATAAGTCCCTAATATAGAAACCTAGATATTTCCAATTTACAGAATGTTCAAGACGCAAATTATAGCAATTTTGATATTTCACCCAGGTCATACAAAAAAATCCATACTTTACCTAATGCACAATATAGAAACCTTAATTAGGGCCTTCCACAAGTTTCAAGAGATTTCCCAAAAAGTTTCTCGTAATTGCTCAAAAAAGTTGCTCAAAAGATGCTCAAAAAAGTCAAAAGTTGCTTTTTGTAACGAAAGTTGCTCAAAAAAAACTTTTGATAAATTTTGTCCTCAATTTAAACCAAAAAAATGTTCTCTGCGTTCTGCTGAAATTGCCGCTTTCGTTCAAGTACTGTCTTGCTCCCGCTTCTGCGGCTACCCTATAAGGATCTGAATACCCTTCTTCACCTGAGACACTCTAATCAGTCGAGTGTGAGTCACTGACCTAGCAGCTCGGCTGCCCCGGGGGAGGAATTGCCTCCATTTTCACAGGAAATTAATAAATTGTCTGCTAATACATTGTGAAATATGAAAGCAAGGCCAATTTAAGCACTATAAGCTGCTCCGATATCTCAGAATTGATAGAAAACTAGAAATTGCTAGGATTTGTAAAAAGTTGCCGTGCAACTTCTGGAAAGCCCTAACCTTGATAATGGCTAATTTTCTAGATTTTACACTGTGCAAAATGTAGAAATTTTGGTATTTGACTTTTATAATAGACAAAATTTGTATTTTACATAATGAACAATAGAAATTTTAATATTTGTCAATTTCCAGATTTTAGACAACGCAAAATATAGACATTTGACTTCTATAATTAAGACAAAATCCATATTTTACCGCATGCACTTTATAGAAATTTTGATGTTTGCCTATTTCCAGAGTTTGCACGAGGCAAAATCCATTTTTTACCAAATGCACTAACTAGAAACTTTGATTTTTTCCAATTTCCAGATTTTGCACCACGTAAAATATAGATATTTCGATACTTCACGTTCATAATAAGGACACATTCCATCTTTTACTTAATGCACAGTATATATAACAAATATATATAAAATTTAATATTTGTAATTCTCGAGATTTGGCGAAATATGGAAATTTGTAATTTGACTTCTAAAATAAAGGCAAAATCCATACAGAATGCACCATATAGAAATTTTGATAGTTGCCAATTTCCAGATTTTGCAAAACCCAAAATATAGAAATTTTGATAGTTGACGTTCATCAATTTGTAGATTTTGTATGGTGTAAAATAGAGAAATATTCATATTTTACGTTCGTAATAAACAAATTTCCATAATTTCCTTCTGCACAATTTAGAAACTTTACTAGTTACAAATTTCTTGATTTTTCACGATCCAAAATAGATAATTTCTTTTATTATAAAGACACATTCCAAATTTTTCCTGATGTGCAACATAGAAACTTTAATATTTGCCCATTTCCAAATTTTGCAGGACGGAAAATATAGACATTTTGATATTTGACGTTCGTAATAAGGACCATGCATAGAAACTTTTAATTTCTATTTTTCAACTTCCAGATTTTGTTGCAATCAAAATATAGAAATTTTGCAGATATTTTAATTATTAATTACGACAAATCCCATATTTACCTGACGCCTAATACAGAAACCTTGATATTTGTCAATTTCTGGATTTTGTACCATGCAAAATACAGAAATTCTGATACTTGATGTTCATGATAAAGACAAATTCATTATAATATACGGGAACCTTTATATTTGTAAATTTTCAGATTTTGCACGACGCAAAATATGAAAAGAATTCCTTATTTTACTTTGGTGGGAAGTGGGGTTTTCTAATCCAGTAGCATTCTGCTCAAATTATAAATTGGAGAGAGAAAGAACAGAACCGGCAATAAGAGAAAAATCGGCAGCATGTTTGGCAATTTCCAAATTGGAGACGCCGCAGTGAACATGCTAAAGTGCCGGAAAGAGAAACCGGTCCGTAAAATAAATACAATATCTTATAACAATATCTTATAAAGATAAAACTCTCCTGTCCGCGATAAAGGACGGTTACAATGAAGGTATAATGCATGGCTGTATAGACAAGTTGGAATCTGTCACTGAGCCTCAGAAAAAGTGGCTAACTTCTGCAAGGCGAATAGTATGGCTCCCCTATAGCTACGGTAAAGAGCATAGTTGCCCGCTTCGTTCAAATGAACACCGTCTCGGCATAAAACAGCAATAGATGGACTTTGAAGCCCTCTATGGCTCCACGCTTCAGCATAAGGGAGTGGTTCGAGGACCACTTTTAGATATTTATTGAGAAGGTCTACTTTGTGGTTGAAATCGGGGACGAGCGGAGGAATAGCAGACCGGTAAATTACTAGGCATACCATTATAAATTCTGCTCCACAGTAATCATGGAGGACTTGAACTAAATGTTCAATGTCTGAACCAACAGATTCGGGGCGCTGCCCCACTACACACAAATCATTAGTTCCCAGTTCTAAAATGATAACCTTTGGCTGAAAAGCCTTAATTTTGTCCAAATCAAATGACAGTATTTTAGAGACGGTTCTACCGCCAATGCCTAGAAAAGATACATTTTCGTGAGCCAAGTTCATGTTGTGAGCGGCACACCTATCGTACTGTTCGGTGAGGAATGTTTGTAAACGCCTCACAAAGGAATGACCAAGAATGAGAATGTTGGTGGTATTATCCATAACAGCAAACAGTTGAAAACAAGAAGGAAATGAGGTATACTTAACGTCCGTTCTGCTGAATTCCCAAGGAGAGCTGCTTGTTCAAAGGATAAGCGGGTCAGCTATTGAAGATTCGGCTTGATGTCAGCTTTCAGACCGAGAGGATTAACGAAAGGTTACACCCTCTTATAAAGGGTCTCCGCGAGATAATGAGATCGAGGCTAAGTAAATTTACTGCGAGTGGCCTTATCATAGGAGCTCGTGATTATTACCCAAAAGTAATTTTACTTTTCGTCTTGTGATTCTCACGCGATCGTAAACCATTGTAAGATAATTCAAAGTTCACATTCGAGAGCCTCTAAGCCTTTGAAGCCGCAATCGACCCCACCCCCCAAAAATCCATGCATTGAAGAAATTGGAAGGGGAGACATAAAGTTTTTTATTTGGTTCCAAATAAACTCAATTATGCCCAATACAGAATTCTTTGTATTTGGCATATAGGAACTTTGATATTTACTATTTCAAGATTTCGCACGATGCCAAATGTAAAAATTTTGATATTTGACTTTTATGATATAGGCAAATTCAGTCTATATTTCACCTAATACCTGATACAGAATTATTGATATTTTAACCAACGCTTAATATAGAAAACTTTATATATATTTGCCAATTTTCAGATTTTCCACGAAGCAAAATAGCGAAATTTGATGTTTGACTTTTAGTCTGGAGGGAAAGGCCATCCATTGTTTTCATGTGTTTGTCTGTGACAGATTCATCACTGCCAGTGTGACGTCACATAGTAACTGGCGAGAGCTTCGGGTCGCTTGTGCAAGTTTGCAAGGGACACCATAGTCATTCGAACAAGAGAGGTCGGGGATAAGATTAAAAGCTAGGCAAGTATTGCTATACATCACTAATTTGATCTTAAGTGTGAGCTTTGTTGTGGCTTTTATCTGATTTTTGTAAACCGTTTTGGTATTTTTTGTCCGTAATTGTGTAATTTTGTTAATTTGTGTCGCGGGTCGTGTTGCAGGATCGACCCGAAACTCTCGCCCGTTTGTATGTAACGTCACACTGGCAGTGGTCAGTGAACCGACGTTTACCTTGGAGATGGCCCTCTCTCCTGCATTTAATATAAGACAAATTCGATAGTTTATCTATTGTACTCTCCTCGCTCCTCGCCGCTAGCGTTGCAGTGTCTCTCTCTCTCTTATTGTCAGTATGGACAAGAGTGGCTGGAAGGGGTGCATTATTTGGAGGATATTTGACAAGAATTTTTATTTATATGGGAATACATTGATTTGCATATCTATCCGATTTTTTGAAAACCAACCTAACGAAATTTGCAGTCATTTGTGTGAAAAAGCGTCAAAAGGCATGTTTCTTAAGCCCGAGAAGCTCCAAAATCATAATAACGAAGAAAAAGGAAAGGAGAAAAAGAAAGAGCGAGGAAAAGGAAAGGAAGAGAAGAAAAAAAAGCGATGGTTGCACTCTTAGTTTTTATAATAGCGACTTTGCCGGAAAAAAACTGTTCGACACAAAGGTCCATTTGGCGATAACGTTATCAAAATCCGGCTAGATATATAAAGTAAATGATGATGATGGTGATGATGATAACTTTATTTACGTCTCAGATTTCTAGCGTAGCACAAGGGCTGAAACTAATCAGGGAGGCATAATATTAAATATTCAGTCATGCCTTTCGAATATTTCCAGCCCTCACTCCATACTTTTTCTAAAGGTTTGCTCGGCACATACCGGCGAAATGACTCGTCCTAGTTTTGCCTTGCACAATGCCTTTTCGTTATTGGTTGTTGTGGTTGTCATTGTTTGGCTTTTAAATGCAACTGTTCCAGGAGAGAGGGAATGGCTAAAAATTCTACTAGACTGTCAGTTGCATGAAAAGATATCGGTCTGAAAACAAACTGGTGTTCTTCTGTATATGTCGACTTCCATGTCGTACGTATAAACTTCATTATTGAACAAAACATGTAGACGAACAAAGTTTTAGTTCGACGAGTTCTTCTGCTGATGAAGAGCTTGTCTCATCTTAATAACATTCACTCTTCCATCCATAGCCAACGGTTCTACAACGACCTGAGATCGGCAGTATCTGCAACATAGCAACTTCAGGTAATCAGTCCTAAAATTCCTGTTGAGTACTCCGTAGATCAAAGGATTCAAGGCGCTGCTAACATGAGCCAAAAAGGTGTATGCTACGTACACCTCTCTAGAAAAGGTCCATCTTGTTTGAATAGATGTCAATCAGTAAAATTGGAATCCAACAAAGATTAAAAAACACCACCATTACAAACAGTGTGCGCGTCACCTTAATTTCTTCGACGTTTGCCGTGCTGACTGGATTGCGAGAAAATTGAATGTTGTTATTGTGAGTACGCACTGTTTTAAAGATGCTAAGATAGCAGTAAACGATTATAATTGTAGGAATCTCTATATAAAGTGGAATACCATAGGCCGTGAAAATGTTGTTGCAAGAAAAACTGTTTTGTGTCCAGACAAGAAATATGGTAATGGACAACAAATGGAATAAAACCACGACACCAGGAGCATCATCATGGTTTTCTTCTTGGTGAAGTAGCGGCGATACTTTCATGGTTTGACGATTCTAAAATACCTGTTAACAGGCATCAATGCCAGTGTGTGAACTGAAACAGCAACTAATGCCATGACTATGTACCCCTGGAACTGGAAAGTTGCATCATTGAACGGCCAATGAGATGTCACCAATGTGGGAATGCATAAAGGAACGGAGATCAAAGCCCCTATAGAGAAATCTGAAACAGCAAGCGATGCCACGAACATATTTGGAATTGTTCGCAATCGACGGTTCAGCAACATGACCAAGAGGGTGACAAAGTTTCCAAACAACATAAGTAACGAAAGAAACAGGAAAGAAACCGACTCCAGGATGACTTGCTCTTTGCTTCTTGACTTTAGTTCAATTAACATGTCTTCCATTTGCTTTTCTGTGGATTCCATTTTTTGCAACTTTAATCAGATTGAAAATTGCAGCTAACAAGGAAAAACATATTCAAATAAAGTAAGCAATGGACAGGGAAAAATGAGTTTATGATATTTTTCGTTTTATTATTCTCGACTAGTTTTCTTCTCATCCTCCAATTCACTTTCATGGCGGGTTTATAACCAAGAGGACAAGTCACTTAAGATTTGATTCAGTTTAATTTTTGCGTCTGAAACGCACAATTCGTATGATTTGCAAGCATTTGACCCTAAGAAAACACCCGGCTATACTGCGCTGATTCAATCGAGTCTCACCATCGACAAAGCTCGGTTTTGTATTGAGCAAATTGCGTCCGATTAACTGTAATATGCATTCATTTGCATGGCCGTATCTTCACTTAGTGAGGACTAAACGCCGATGATGATGATAGCTTTCACCATCAACGCAAATGAGAGGACAAGACCAAAAAAATTGTTTTTTAGTCTTGAAAACGCCCTCGATGCATGCATACACACAAGGAGCATTTTTTCTTCCTATAATTATGCTTTTGCGCTTTCGCCATAAGCCTTAATTCTTTTCCTTTCAACTGAGACGAGGCTCAGTCTTATGCAGACGTCATTGTATACTTAACTGTAACATACTTTAATTCACAATGGTATTAAGAAAATGAAATGTATGAAGATTACGAAAATTTGGTCGCAATACTAAACTTGAAGAAAATCAAGAAGAAAATCCGCTTATGAACAGAAAACTAACCTGCAGTCAATCTATGTTTTCTTCTGGTTTTTACAGAATAGAATGTCGAGCACATTTAACGAACTTGAGAACGTGGTTAGTTTGAGAAGGATAAAGATGTTGTTATTAAATTCTCACCTCACTTACTATGCTTGTGTCTCTTCCCAGCCAATCGAAGCATGAAGTTATGTAGTACGTATCCGTCAGGTCATCTGTAAACGTTTGGATAAGTGCTTTAAATTAAGTAATACGTCCAGAGTACAGGTTGCGAAAAATATTTGTGATATTGGCTGGTGGGGGAGGCTGTTTCGTACTCACGAAAAGAACACCTCGATTTAAGGTTGTAAAAAGAGAACAAACGAATTTTATTTGGAAAGATCAAACTTGTGTAATAAGATGTCATTTGTACTAACTGCTGTCTTTTGTGCTAAGCAGATCGCTGTGCAGCTGTCCTATACTGTTTAGCTGTCTACATGAGTCTTGGATGAAAGAAAGATTTATTTGTTTGACGCTGTTTGAATGACTAAAATAAGCAAACAAATTGAAGTCGGGTAATTACTAACTTTTGGGGGTCATCGAATAGAGGATAAGACTAATGTGCGATCTCATCGTGAAATTTCCATAGAACCCTCCTCTTAAACAATCTTTCTTGCTTTTCGCAGGGTATAAATGTCCTTAAAAGACCAGCAGGAGCCTTTCATCAAGCTTAAGGTGGCTGACTGACACAGTTGGATAGGTTGTCAGTGGTTATCGGCATTCATATCCATTGGGTTGTCCTAGCTATTCAACACTCGCTGTAGGCAAAAGCTCTAATTTGGCATGAACAAACTAAATATGATTATTAAACATTATTTCTGCTGGGTTAAACTGAAAGATTTCTATCCTTACCATTGCAACATGAATGATATAAAACTACACTAAAATTTTGAATTAAGGAGGTGTACCCATAATCAACCGATTAGATTGCCTAGTATAAATTTGCAAGCAGGGCTTACAATTAGTAATCCTCATTTTCCAAAAACAACTTGACCAAATTTTAACATTTGGTCATTCTGTTGATATAACGTTAAACAGTAGTGAAAAGAATAAGACGTGTGTAAAATATCTTATGTTTAAAACTATATATTTAGCAATAATGATCGTCAGGCGAGAGTTTCTAATACTTTTCTTCATGATCAGCGGACCACCTGGTTTAGCAATGAAGTTTCCCCTTTTTTCTGCTGATTTGCGTCAGTATTGGTATTCAAAAAAAATCAGGGAAATTTCGTTAAAGTTACTGTAAAAAGATCGACTAACATTTTTATGACAAAATCCTCACAAGCAGCAAACTTACCCCTTGATAATGGACGTTTCAAGAGTTTTTGTTACAAAACAGTGCCACAATTGGTGTTGAACGCCACAAGTTATTAACTGCATGTGAACGTAAGTTTTAGTAGAAACAAAATTTAACATGATTAGGTTTTATGTCGCCAGCATAAAGATATAGGCCATCTGCAAAATTTATTTGAATTAAAATAGCTCTTTTTTCTTGAAGTAATATGCCTCAAAGCGCTGGTTTAATTAATGCAGCCAGAAAGTAGGTTTAGATTCATGCTGACTTAAATGGTGTATTCTGCCTGCCGGCAATGCTCCTAAAGATCGCTTATTTTGCTGAGAAAGAATCTGCTCGGACACCTAAATTGTCCTTGCCATACTCGAAAACTTTTCCTGGCTCCTTTGGTTTTTATATATTTTCCCAGATAGAAAAGGTACCGCAGGCCTAGCCGTTAGATCCTAATTAATAATAGAATTAATTATGCATAACAAAATTGGACTTCATCTCGTTTTGTACGTATTAGACGAAACGGTCAATTTTTCACTAGAATCATAGTCTTGTTTTGCATATTACTACTGTTACTGATTCTCCGTTTTCTGCGCAAATTATTCACGGAAATTCCTGTTTCTGGCGACAATGCACGCATTGCTTTTTCTGCTCGAAAATCTGCCAACTGGATCTATCCCTATCTTGTTTTGTATATTACTACTGTTATTGTTGTTAGAGTGATCAGTCGACACTTAGAGAAGAAAAAAAGAACACCGAAAAAACGAATTCGAAATCCTTGGGAATCTTTTCAATTGATAGAAGGGTATAGCGTCTCGTAATTGAAAGAGAAAAGTCAGTTAAGGGAGTAAAAGCTTGCGAAGTGCGCTGAGGACCAATAAAGAAATAAATAAAAATCCTCATTTATCACGGACGCATTAAGCATCATTACCTGTCAATGCCATTGTATATAACTGGAATACACTTACGAAAAGTGAACCACGCAAATCTAAAAGCTATTGCCGCAAAGTTCATCCATTATTTAACACAATAATCGCTTTCTGACAGACACTGCAAATCCCCATTAAATTTTTTCTCTGCGATATCACCTTACTGTCACCTTTTTATGTAATGTAAAAAAAATCCGGCTCAATAAATTTGGGATTGTGCTGAAACGCATTCTGAAAATTTTTCATGACGGCTACAACTAACATGAAAAACATATTGGTCCAAATTAAGAATATGTCCTGTTGAATATGTCCGCCAACCTCCACATTGTACATACAAATACAGTATAAAAATAACATGCATGAGAGTAAAGTTTCTAATTTGCATTCTCCTTCTTATAAAGCGTTGGTCCCATGTTCATAACATTTGATCCTCCTTCCAGCGTCAACGGTCTTACTACAGTCTGACAGCGGCAATATCTGCAGCATAGTAACTTCAAGTAATCCTTACGAAAATTCTTGTTTAGTACTCCGTATATGAAAGGATTCAAGGCACTGCTGATATTGGCCAAAAAAGTGTATGCTACGTACACCTCGCGAGGGAAAGTCCATCTCCCAAGAATCGTGTCCACAATGTCAATCAAGAAAACTGGGGTCCAGCAAAGATTAAAAAACACCACTATCACAAATAGTGTGCGTGCCACCTTAATTTCTTCTACGTTTGCCATACTTGCCTGATTTCCAGGTAGGTTGAAGTTGTTATTGTGACTACGAACCCTTTTAAAGATTTTAAGATAGCAGTAAAAGATTATACTTGTAGGAATCCCAATGTAAAGTGGAACACCATAAGCAAGGAAAACTGGATTATTTATTGGAGGATAGCAAAAAAACTTTGAAGCATGGAAAACCATTTTGTGTCCAGCCAAGAAATATGGTAATGGACAACACATGGAATAGAACCACGACAAGAGGATCATGATCATGGTTTTCTTCTTGGTGAAGTAGCGGCGATATTTTGATGCTTTGACGATTCTAAAATATCTGTTAACTGCCATCAAAGCCAATGTGTGAACTGACGCTACCGCCAAGGCTATGACTATGTACCCTTGCAATTGGCACGTTGTATCGCTGAACGGCCATTGAGACGTCAGCAATACAGGAATGCCTAAAGGACCTGAAGTAACAGCCCCTATAAAGAAATCTGAAACAGCAAGTGATGCCACGAAGACATTTGGAATTGTTCGTAATCGACGGTTCAGCAACATGACCAAGAGAGTTAAAAAGTTTCCAACCAACATAAGTAACGAAAGAAACCCGAAAGAAACCGACTCCAGGATGACTTGTTCTTTGCTTCTTGACTTTAGTTCATTTAACATGTCCGCCAGTTGCTTCTCTGTGGGATCCATTTTTTGCAGCTTCAATCAGATTGGCAGTCTTCAGTCCAGCTGCAGAGGAAAGAACATATGCAAATACAATAAGCGATGGCAGTGTAAACATGAGTTCATGCACGGAATATCATTCACTTTTAATTATTGTCTTCGACTATTTTTCTTATTTTTCAAAATTGCTATCGTAGCGGGCTTACAACCATGATAACAAGTCACTTGTTCATTTAAAGACATAACTTATGACTTACACGTAGTGGACCCTATTATACTCCTGCGTTCAATCGGCCTCGAGCACCATCTATAATTAAAACAACCTCGGGTCGTATAAAGCAAACTTCCTCCTCTTTACCGTAATGTGCCGAGATCGTAGTCTTCTTTGGTCTGTTTCAGGTGTTTAGCCGGATAGGGGAGTGTGGCGCGAAGTCGGATTAGGCCGCGGGAGAGAGGGAGAGTTTTTCCTGCAGATGCCGTCACCACAAACTGAACGCCTGCCGGAACAAACTAATCTTTCCTAAGTACTTATTAAAGACTGAACACTACTTTTTAAAATCATGATCAAAGCAAGCGAGAGGGCGTAAAAACGGCCTACTCAATAATCGTTTTTTTTTTTTCCTTTCGTTCTCTTGCTGTTGAGCTTTTTCCCTGGTTCAGCCTTTGTTTTCATTTTACAAGAGGTTCGTATGCTTATTATCGTGATTAAAAACCAGGTTTTAAACAACGTTCCATCTATTTATGTTCTAAACTTTATATCAAGCTCTAATCTTCGGACGATTCGTTATGGCATATCTTTTCGTTTTAGTTAAATATGAGACAACCTGTTTTGGCCTTGAAATTTCTATGGCTATTTTTTTCTATATTATTTTTTTAAGTTCTTATTGGTATCATTATATTTTGCCTTTTATCGTTTGTTTGTAAAAATCATAAGAATTGGTTTGAATGACTTTGAAAGAATGAAAATCATATTTAAAAAAGTCTCTTAGGTAACAAACTAACCTCGACTGAACGGCTGATTCAGTTTTCAGAGCAGAACATATTGTTCGTCTGCGCAACAAACTTGTGAATGTCTGTCGACTTGTTTTAACAGTTGAACTATGTCATTAGCCGGCCAATCGGAGCTTGAAGTTTTATAGCAGCCATTAGTGTCATCTGTAAACATTCATTGAATAATTGCCGCCAGCGCTTGCTTCGCTTATCTCGCGGAGAATGTGAAGTTGTGAAAAATATTGCTGATATTCTGGATATTGGCTGGTGGGGAAGTTTGTTCCGGTTTCACGGAAAGTAAAGCTCTCATTTGACTCTAAAGAACAATTATTTTTACATGTCAGATTCATTAAACAACATTAAGCTCGTGACATCGGGAAAATATTATCTCATTTTAACTAATTACTATCCTATCACTATTGTCCTTGTTAAGCCGCGCTGGATAGGCAGCTGTTCTATATCGTGTTTCTGCTCTGACGGCGAGGATTGAATGACTAAAATAAATGAATAAACAATATGAAATTGTTAACCTGCAAATACTAAGTTTAAGGGTTAGTCAGAATATAGCAAATGTGTGTTAATTAGACTAATGTTTTTTATTGGGAACGTATAACTTGTGAATAAGGGTAAAAAAATGAATGTATGCAAGAGCCATAATGGTGATGTATGATACAGCTATGTCATGATTAGAGCGATTTTCATATGACCTTGAAAAATGGTTTCGGTAAGGGTTCGTTATTTGTTTTATCAGCAAATGGATGAAAAGATCAAAACATGGACTCTTCGTTTTCCCGCCAAAGAAAACCCTTATATGGAGAAGGCATTGTTTGATTGGCCAATCGTGTTGCAGTATGACGTCAAGCGAAGTATCGCCTGATTTGTAGAAAGTTCTCGGGCATGAAGTTTTTTCACCCGAGCGTTCGCTTAACCAACCAAAGGCCACGCGCGTTTGCATCCGTTCGATAAACCAATCAAATCGCTCTATTTCCGTTTGTTTGTTCTTTCTGTTTTGTTCATTTCAAGGTCATGCGAAAATCGCTCTATAGCCATTATGAATACATTTATTTTTAAATTCATGATACTAACAAGGAAGCTTATGGAAACCGATGTTAGGGTGATATAAAGTAAAACATGCATGTCGGTACAGTGCGGGAATCCCGGTTTCCGGAAGGCTTGAAAAAGCGAATTGGTTCAAATTATCAGCAGGTTTGAAAAGTCGGGGGTTAAATTACAGTGTTTGATTGGTGAAGGGAATTTACGTTTGGTTCGAATTTCAAAAAACTAAGGATTCGAAAAATCGGGATTCCGCTGTAATAGATTGTACTGATTGTACTGTATGGAGGGATGTTTATCAGCAATAGACATCTCTCAACCAATAAAGAGCTCTTCCTCTGTAATATCTCAAGTTTAGCAGCACTCTTTATTTAAATCACTTGGAATTGTGGGTTACCCACCTGCTTAAACGATTAAAACGATCTTAGTATTGGATAGGCGTAAATATACTTTGTAGCATGCATTTCCTCAGTTAAGGGTGAAAAGTCTTGCAATTAGTAGAGACCAAACAACCTCTTCGGTATATTTTGACTGAAATGTTTTAGTTACAAAAACGATCGGTTATAACCTTTAACAGCTTGGATAAAATGAGCAAGAATCGTAAAAAATATTGCTAAATATATGTAAATTAATCCCGTGAAGTGAAAACTTAGTATATATCAACAAATTTGCCAGCGCATGACAGTTGAGACCATAACTGACTTATGACGACTAACTTAAAATAACTCACACTGTGTAAGGAGGAGGTGCTTGGCAGACATTTATACTGAGCACAAAATTAGTAACTGCACCTTAACGCCGATTTAAATGGTACAATTTTCTCGTATGCGATGCGCTTACGATAAACCTACAAACGCGTAAATATCTACGACAATTGCAGTACAATTTGCGTCGATGGTACTCCATGAAGCCCATACATCGCATGTAACAAAGTTGTACCTTGTATACATTTGCGCACACAAATGCTGGCAGGGTGAGCAGGTTTATGCGCATGGGAAGAGTGAGCTTGAGGACTGAGTTAAGGAACACGAAGACTTTATGCGAAAACCAAGAAAACAATGGGAGACAGAGCTTTCCAGGTAGCTGCTCCTTTCCTATGGAATAAGCTGCCAAGTTCCGCGCGCGAAGCAACGAACTTAGAATCTTTTAAGACTTTAATTGAGACATTTTTATTTAAGGAATCATTTCAGTTATCTTAGTATATCTATATCTATATATATTTGTAATTATCTTTTACTCATTTAAATGTAAATATTTTTAAGATTTATGATAGAAAGATTTGTAAAATTACTATTGTGATGCGCTTTCGAATATTTTTATAGAAAAGGCGCAATACAAATACTAAATATTATTGTTATTATTATTATTATTATTATTATTATTATTATTATTATTATTATTATTATTATTATTATTATTATTATCAAAGGCTGCCTAAAAACGCAATATAATAGTAAGGAAGTTGACTTGATAATATAATAATAGGCATTCATTCTCTTAACGTTCTTAAGGCAGAAGCATTTCAGAAGTCCTGTCCCGAAAAGCTAAGTTGGGTTTTGTTGCCGGTAATGTATGATTTAGTTGGAAAAAAGTACAACCAATCTCCGTTAATAGGGACACTGAGGAGGCTACAAAAAGCGCCAGTATTAAAGGGGTGTCCGTATAAAGCAGGTTGAATTGAGAGAAAATATAAGAACTTTCTCTCCCCAGGGACAAAGGAAACTGTCTGTAATAATGAGGTGTCCGTATTAAGCAGGTTGAATTTAGAGAAAATGTAAGGGCTTTCTTTCCCCAGGGACACAGCAAACTGTCCGTAATAATGAGGTGTCCGTATTAAGCGGGTTAAATTTAGAGAAAATGTTAGGGCTTTCTTTCCCCAGGGACAAAGCAATCTGTGCGTAATAATGAGGTCTCCGTATTAAGCGGGTTAAATTTAGAGAAAATGTTAGGGCTTTCTTTCCCCAGGGACAAAGCAATCTGTGCGTAATAATGAGGTGTCCGTATTAAGCGGGTTAAATTTAGAGAAAATGTTAGGGCTTTCTTTCCCCAGGGACAAAGCAATCTGTGCGTAATAATGAGGTGTCCGTATTAAGCGGGTTGAATTTAGAGAAAATGTAAGGGCTTTCTTTCCCCAGGGACAAAGGAAACTGTCTGTAATAATGAGGTGTCCGTATTAAGCGGGCTGAATTTAGAGAAAATGTAAGGGCTTTCTTTCCCCAGGGACAAAGGAAACTGTCTGTAATAATGAGGTGTCCGTATTAAGCGGGTTGAATTTAGAGAAAATGTAAGGGCTTTCTTTCCTCAGGGACAAAGGAAACTGTCTGTAATAATGAGGTGTCCGTATTAAGCGGGTTGAATTTAGAGAAAATGTAAGGGCTTTCTTTCCCCAGGGACAAAGCAAACTGTCCGTAATAATGAGGTGTCCGTATTAAGCGGGTTGAATTTAGAGAAAATGTAAGGACTTTCTTTCCCCAAGGACAAAGCAATCTGTGCGTAATAATGAGGTGTCCGTATTAAGCGGGCTGAATTTAGAGAAAATGTAAGGACTTTCTTTCCTCAGGGACAAAGGAAACTGTCTGTAATAATGAGGTGTCCGTATTAAGCGGGTTGAATTTAGAGAAAATGTAAGGGCTTTCTTTCCCCAGGGACAAAGGAAACTGTCTATAATAATGAGGTGTCCGTATTAAGCGGGTTGAATTTAAAGAAAATGTAAGGGCTTTTCTTTCCCCAGGGACAAAGGAAACTCTCTGTAATAATGAGGTGTCCGTATTAAGCAGGCTGAATTTAGAGAAAATTTAAGGGCTTTCTTTCCTCAGGGACAAAGCAATCTGTGCGTAATAATGAGGTCTCCGTATTAAGCGGGTTGAATTTAGAGAAAATGTAAGGGCTTTCTTTCCCCAGGGACAAAGGAAACTGTCTGTAATAATGAGGTGTCCGTATTAAGCGGGTTGAATTTAGAGAAAATGTAAGGGCTTTCTTTCCCC